TTTTTTTTTTTTGGGGGTTTTGGGGGGGGGGCTTGACGCATCCATCACTAGTGCCGTTTGGTTTGTTTCTGATGCTGTTGTTCTGTCAGTGTTCCTTTTTGTTACCTAGGATGCCTCGCTCAGGTCATCTTCTCTCAAATGTGGAATCGGGAAGGGAAAGAGTAAAAAGACAGAAAACATGCGAATACTATGCTCCATAGATAATTATGTTTAATTTTGATTGCTCTTTAGCAAATTTGGGTTGCAAGATGAGAGTTCAAAGGGAAAGTGTACTCACCCGAGCGGTCGTCAGAATTAACCGAACATCCCACTGTCTTGAAACGATTACACCTCTAGGGATTACTCTTAGATGCATTCGTAGATCTTTCGTGACACCTGTGAGCAAAGGTTCCGAATATTTCTTGGATTAAATAACACTTGATAAGATTCTTCCTGACATGGTTCCAACTTATTGTCGAAGTATATCAGTGTTGCCACGGCCTCTCGTTACCAAAGCAAGTGAGTGGTATTGGCCTTGGACTGTTGATGTCTCGGTTATTCTTGCGACCGCTCGGTGGCTAGTAAAGAAGATCATATGGTGTTTTATTTATTAGGTAAGTGGACGGGCTATAAGGAGAACATGAAACTTAGAATGTGTTGGCGTCATTGAGAATGATCGAACAGGTTTATCGCTGGCATGTCTTTAACAAGGAGGGCCTGTCATGAATATTTGAAGTCAAGCACGCAGTCTATATTAGATACTTGGCCATTACAGAACGCCTGGGCTTGTTGAAGAACAACCAACTGCAGCATTACAACATATACCTAAACCTCTCTTCCCTACTTCCTCCCTCCCTTTCACCATCAACCAGCCCCTCCTCCTCATCTTGCCCCACACCTTCATAGGCAGTCTCCTCCTCGAGTTTCCTATTCTTTCTCGCTAGGTATGCCCTCAAGAAAACCGCCACGAAAGCAACTCCCACCATCGCCCCAGCACAAACCCCCATCCCCCTCTTCCAGAACGGCCCCTCCTTTGCGGGATACAATCTCGTTCCCACAAGCGGTCCACACTGTCCTAGAACCTGCATCAACGCAAACCCCATTCCCTTTCCGCCTTCAGTCCGCTGGTTATTGATACTCCACGCAATCGTCAACACCACCACATTGAAAAACCCGATCGCGGCAGGATAGACGGCTAGATACCTGACCCAGCTACCCGGTTCCAAACCGAGAGACTGGGAAAAGGCAAGAACAGAATAACCGAAGGCGGAAAGGAGGGCGTGGAAAATTAGAGGGGTGGAACGGTTGTGGTATCGGTCGGAGAAGGAGGCGGTACAGAGGACTGTTATAAAAGCGCAGAGGTAGGGAGGGGCGGAGAGGGCTTGGGACATGAGGGGGGTATGGTTCATGGACATCAAGATGGTGGGGAGGAAGACGGGGAGGGAGGAGTAGGCGAGGTTGGTAAGGAAGAAGATTGCGGCGGTGAGCCAGGCGGTGGGGGAGGTGAGGGTTGTTAGGATGTCGCTTGTTTTGAGGCCCGGACCGGCAGAAGAATGAGAAAACGGGGAGGAGGAAGAGGATGAGGACCGGAGACGGAGAGCCGCGACTTTCTTTTCGCGACGGGTGAGGTAGCGAGCAGTTTGCGGGGAGTCAGGGATGATGTGCCAGGCGAGCACGGCGACGATGACGGAGGGGAAACCTTCTATCAGGAAAAGGAGACGCCAGGGGCGGACGGGAGAGATTTCGCCTAGCTTCAAAATGGCCCAGGCTAGGAAGGAGGCGAAGCTGGTTGCTAGGGGGGCGGCTGAATGTTTTTTTTTTGGTCATGAGCATGCAGTCGCTTGTTGGATAAAAAGGTGAATACGTTACCTGATATAAACACGGCCGTCCTAAGAGCTAACTCATGCCGCTTGTAAAAGAAGGATAAGTAAAAGGGCACTCCGGTAAAGGCCGCCTCGCCGATACCCAGAATTGTGCGCAAAAAAATGAGCATAGGGTAGTTGACTGCCACGGCTTGAAGCGACGCCGTCAAGCCCCAGCAGAGAACGATGATGGAGACGTAGATGTGGGCGGGTATGAGGCGCCAGAGAAGGGACATCCATTCGAAGCAGATGTAGGCGATGTAAAAGGCTGTTAGAGCCCACTCGTACCAACCATCCTTGGGAGGAGTGGACTGGAGGTCTTCTTCCATACCCGCGATACGGGCATTTCCGATGTCTGTGAGTGGTGAGCATTCTGCTCAACATGCAAACAGAAGTTGTGGAAAGTGGCAGTTTGTGGAAGTGAACCACGACTTTAGAATATCAAAGCTGGCCCTAAAAACCAAGAAATGAAAAAGAACAAACAGAAACAGCATAACTCACTAGACCGATCCAAAAAGCTCAACATATAAAGCAGGGCCACGAAAAGCACCAGTTTACGATCAAACTTTTTCACCACTTCTCTTTCTTCTTCTGGCGTGTATCGCAACTGGAAACTTTTACCGCTCGTTGTCGTGCTAACACTTTCGTCATCCAGGTCTGGGAACTTGCTAGTTCCCCTCCTCCTGTTGCCCTTCTTACGCTTTCCCTTGGGCTTCTTCTTGGTCGAAGTTAACTCATACGCCTCTTCCTCGCCAACAGCACTGAAGAAGACTTCCCGGTGGAGTTCGGTTGATATTCGGCGGTCTTCTTCCGAGTCTGTGGTGTCCGATTCCGAGTCCGTGTCCAAGTCCAAGTCGGAGTCCGTCGCCATGTGATCGTGATCGTGATCCTTTGCTTTGGATGATGACAAATGTGAATCTAGAAGTTGGTGGCCTACTCGCTGCGACTGCGGGCTTCGTCGTCCATTGTCTTTGTCGTCTTGACCGGTACCGTTTCCATCACCGCCGTTTGTCGCTCTCTGACCGTTTTGACTTTGTTCTGGATTTTTCCCATCACTTCCTGTTCCTGTTCCTCTCCCGCCCCCAGTCCGACTCCCACGTGCCCATCCCCGCCCATCCTGTCCATCAACTGCCGCACTCCTTTGTTTTCCTACCGAATTATCCCGAGAGGAGGCCGTCATCATTGTCCTCTGCTGCCGCACGATTCCACACTTCCTTCCAAAACCTCCAAGAGGTCAATGAGTCAGGCTGTGCTTCGGTATTTACCGCGTGGTGTGGTGGGTAGGTTCTCTTTATCTTTCTCGAAAGCTTGATGGCCCCCTGCGGGCGCCCCCTTTTCTCTTTCCTTTGTTGATTGGGTGGTGACTCCTGTCCCTTATCCCTGGTTCTGTGTCGCTAGCCTTTGTTGGATACCTCAGGTAGTTTGCAGAAGAACACATGCCGATTCGGCATCGAATGGTTCGGTTCGTTTCGTTTCGATCCAGTGGTGGATGTTGAAAGAGTTGAAAACGTGACGTCTTCAAAACAGGCTTCATTGACATGAATTCACATGCACAGTCGGTGTGCGTTAGGAGTGCTACACTACATACGTAGGTGTGTCGGCTTGTCTTAGGCGGAGCGCACTAGCGGTAACGGTAACGGCATGGATGCACCCCAGGATTTCCCGGAGCCTGGAAAGCTTGAAATGTCGCTGGATGTACTGCAATGAGGTGTGCTGCCCGCGTAATGCTAGGGCGTCTGTGAGGCCGCGGCCAGGAAACAACAAGAGATGGACCTCCAAAAAACAACCCGTCCGCAGCTGCCGCCAGTTTAACACGCTACAGTTCCCGTAGGTTTGTTTCGTCTGATCTTCACGAATGTTTATGCAATCCCATGACAAGAGGAGCGAGATGAACACCGCCGCCGGCGAGTAATGAGTTTAGTGGTCCCCACCCCGCGCCAGCTGTTCATCTATTGGCAGCCAATGGCGAACACTAAGATCGGCGGGAATGCATCCCTCCCCCTACTGTGATGCTGGACGTTAATGGCTGGGATGCCCCAGCTTCCCGTGAAATTTCAGGGCGATCTCAGATTATCCCCCACAGAGAAATTAGGCTCAGCTGAGGACATCGTGCCTGCAATGTCGATATCTGTAATACCGAGAAATAAGATAGAAAGGTCTCGATCTTTGTGGATTTGCTTGGTATGCGCTGAAATATTAAAGATGCAAATTGCGTCCAAATGAGATATGTAAATATGTAACCAGAAACCATCGCATATCACCTTGTCAAACTGTCCCCAGGGGCCATGACCTCTTCAACTCAATCTCCTCAATTCCACAAACATTACCCAACTTTTGCTGTCAAATGGAATTATTTTTGGTCTTTCGCTCCCCCCTTTGCTGCTTCTCCACCTCTCCACCTTTGTGAGCACAAAGAGCTGGCTGCTTGGCTGGGCTGGGTTTGGGCATCGAGCGAAAGCATTCCTCTGTCGCAGTTGTCGGTCGTCCTTCCTGATCAAAACTTCTCTCTACCTCTTGGACTGACTGCCGTCATGCCACCCACTCATCTCGAATCAGGGAGCCGACTTTCCTCGAACCATGTACTATAGGATGGAAAAATGATAATTAAACGTTAGAAAGAACCCGCGTTACCATAATCGCCGCCAAGCAAAAAGTGCAGCTGCGATCATTTATTGTGGTACCAGGCTTTTGAATTTCAGACGGCATGGCCATACAAAACCAAGTCCGCCGACAGAAGGTATGAAAAAGATGCTTGACATGTAAACTGGGGAAAAAGCACACAAAATGTTTGCCATCGAAAGGCAGCCCCGAAGAAATCGTCTATACGTGTTGAGTTCTTTTCCACCTCTTTTATTTTTTTAAAAAAAACTTATTTCCCGCCTCCATCTTCCCAAGACGTTGACATCGCAAAAAGTCTCAAATGTCGCAGTCTTTGTCGCATCAGCCAAAATAACAACATCCTCCCCATGGGCATCGAAGCGTAAATGGTCGGTGTCAGTCGTCGAGATAGGGAAAGTAATCACAAGAACTATGTCGCCGTCACACATTCGTCATTTAGTTCCACCCGAGGGAATTTTCCGCGGCAACGGGGGCCGAGATGTAGGCGGTCCGAGAGGAGAGACCCATCCCGCTCCTTCCGCTGCCATGGCTGTCCCGTCCACCAGGCGCACCGGCGCCGGCCGCCGCCGCGCCGCCAGCCACTCCTCCATAGCCGGTAAAGTCCCTACTAAGGAGTGCCCCGCCCATGAGAGCCGGGCTGCCCCCGCCCATCTGCTGCATGTCCGACGGGCTTCCGCCGAGGGAGCTCGCCCGTCTGTGCGCCTGCTTCTTCCTCTTGTACCTCCTGGCAACCACGAACATGGCCGCGCCATACGCAGCAGCAACGGCAACAGCACCACCTACAATTCCCGCCGTGGTTCCCCGCTGCTGAGAAGTCTGGTTGCCGTTGTTGTTGTTTGTAAATGGGTCCGCATTGCCGTTGTTACCGGCGTTGGACGGGTTACTTCCACTGTCGCCACCTGAGCCATCGCCAATGAGGGTCGAGCCAAGGATAATGTCGATGGCAGGATTGATCTGCATTGTCAAGTTGTAAACCAGCGGGGTAGGGTTGTTATAGAGCGGAGAACTGGCGATTTTAACATCCAGTCGAAGGCTCTCAACATACGCCTGCGGGTATGATACAACAGCAAGAGTGGTCCAGTAGCCCAGAGTGTTCACCGTGTTCATGGGCATCAGCTTCGTGACTCTTACTCTGTGGGACTCAATGGACGAAGCAAACGCCAGCGCCTCAGGGAGAAGGCGGAAGATCTGCGCCGCAGCGTTGTTGTTCTTGGCCACAAATGGGTAATTGAATCCATAGTTGAAACCGATCTGGATAAAAACGTTGTCTTCCGGCTTGGGAGCAGTCGTGTCATCAGGGGCAATCGCCTTGGGGAGGTCAGTGGGAAGGGCAGTCGCTGTAGTTTGTTGCACGAAGGACACGGTGTGGGTCTGCGCAGGAGGAGGCTGGTCCACCAGAATCGTGGTTGGGCTATTGTAGCCAGGCGGCATGTTAGACACGGTGGCTGTAGGAGTATATTGCGTAACCGGTGGATAGTTGATCGTCGTGGTCGGCGCAGGCGGGGGAATCAGAACCTGAGTGGTGGTAACAGGTTCCAAGGAGGAAACAGGTACCGAACTCTCAGCTGAAGCGCTCGTTACGATGACTGGAATAATGGTTGAATTGGCCGCTACTGTGGTGCTGTTAATCAAGGTGACAGGGGGCAGAACGACCGTCGTGTCAGACATGGATGTGACAGGGATCGAAGAGTTTCCAGGAATAACAGGCACTGAGGACCCCGGAATTCCGGTTGTTGTTGGGCCCGATTCAACGGCTTTGGTTGAGGAAACAGTTGAGTTTCCAATCGGGATAGAGACGATACCCGAAGACATCATGGGAGGCTTAGGCTGGCTGGTGGTCAGCGAGGCGGAAGGCGTGATAACGCCCGATCCAGAGCCGCTAGCATAAGGTTCGGTCGCCGAGGGAATCGTGACACTATCCGACGTAGTAACGGGAGCCGTGGGTTCGGTTGCTGTTCCATTGCCCGTAGGAATAAGTATGCTGCCTACCAAGGATGCGACATTGCTAGCCAAAGATTCAATTAGGTTGGTTGACGCACTGGAGGTTTCATTGACGACGCCTGTAGGGGCCAGGAGAATTCCGGTGCTGCTCGAGCTGGTGATCAGAGGATCCTCTGTCGCGATGATCTCGGAGGCCGTGGCGGTTCCGATGGTAGAGTTGGTTGCACGGCCAGTCCCAGAAACGAGCGCAGGCGCGGTAGAGTTTGCTACATCGGCCGCAGAAGTCGAGCTCGTCCGGATCGAAGGAAGGACGATGATAGGCGGGAGCCAACCCGTGGAAGCGCTCCCATCGGTGGCTGTCTCGGTGCTTGCTGTCTCGGCGGTGGTAGCATTGGCCGTGGAAGTAGGCTCAACGGTGGTGGTGGGAGGAGTAAGGACCTGCAAAGAGCTAGACGAGTCGGGACTAGTCGTGTTAGAAATGACTCCTGACGAGACGGTGGGTAAAGCGCTGGACGAAGTCAAGGAGCCAGATGCATCAGTCCACGCGGCCGACGAGCTAGCAACATCGGTAGCAGAAGCCGAGGAGCGAGCGACATCGGTAGCAGAGATGGCCGCGCTGGTGGTGTTGGCAACAGAGCCAAGCGCAGTAGTGCTATCAGTAGCAGAAGCCGAAGAGCTAGCACTACCGAAACCAGGGTTCAAGAAGCTAAGAATATCTATAACAGAGCTGGACGAGCTAGCAGAGATGGCCGAGCTGGTGGTGTTAGCAATAGAGCCAGGCGAGGTGACGCTGCCAGTAACAGAAGCCGAAGAGCTGGCGCTATCGGTGGTAGGGCTGGATGAGCTAGCGGTCTCTGTGACAGAGTTGGACGAGCTAACAGCGTCGGTGGCCGAGGCAAAAGAGCTGGTAACATTGGCGCCGGAGCTGGGCAAGATGGTGTTGTCGCTAGCCGAAGCCGAAGCCGAAGAGTTGACCCTGTCGGTGGCAGTAACAGGTGAGCTAGTACTGTCCGTAGTAGAGCCAAGACTGGTTACCGGAGTAGACCCAGGTGACGAAGTAGCGCCAGAAGAGGTGCCCTCGGTAGTTGAATCAGATAAGCTGCTCTCGGTAGTAGAGCCAGAGCTGGTTCCCGTAGGAAACCCAAGTAGGTCGGTTGAACTGTTGTCAGTAGCAGAGCTGGAGAGACCAGTGGCACCCTGGCTAGTTGAGTCAGAGGAGACCGCAGTGCTATCGGTGGAACTAACAAAGTCGGTGTCGACAGCGGGGACAGAGGGAGCGGCTGTGCCAGCGGTCGACAAGTCGACTGTTGTGGGCTGAGAAGGTGAAACGTAAACGGTGCTTGCAATCACCACCGTCGTGACCCGAGACGTGTCTGACTCGGATTCGGACTGCGGTTCGCTCGAGGTGAGGAAGCGCGAAGAAGTCGACTTGACAAAGGGAATGTCCGACAAGCTTTCGCTCTGGTCGTTGCTGGTCGTCTCCCTCTTGGCCGTCTGCGATAAGGCGTCGGACGACGTATCGATGGTGGTAATAGGGGCATCGTTGGATGTTATCGTGGCGTTGGCATACTGGCGTTTGACATGTTTAGGGAAGTAGTACTTGGGCTTGGTGGGCCCCACATGCTCGCCGGCCACATACGAGGCCGCTAATAGGGCGGCCGCAACAACGGATACTGTCCGCATCGTTCTTGTCCTAGTCGATGTTGATCATGCACTGCCCTGATGATGCTGAGGTGATGTTGGTATAAGAGAGTGGAAGGCGTCAACTGGCACTCGGGGCGTATGGTGTGTGAATCTACGCCGAAGGGTCGTCAGCGCCGCAACAGCGACAGCAAGGGTCGACAGCAACGGCAAGGAGGGACTCACTTGTCAGGAGATAGTCGTAACGAGTGAACTTGACAAATAAGCCAAATGAGGGTAATCTGAAGACGAAAGCAACAGTCAGTGAATCCATGTATCCATAGTTTGGGCCCAAGCGTATTGGTGATCCCCGCGATCAGCTGTGGAACGGTGAGTTGTTGGCCTGAAGGGAATCGCAGGAGCGCTGATCGTTGCGTCTAGCCCTTCGACATCACTGCCCTCACTCTCCAGCGAGGTCCCCGTCGACGTCCCCGGCCCCGGCCAAGTCCCTATGTCCAAGTCGCTTTCTTTTCATCCTGCCTCTCGCACCGGCTCCAATATGCTCCCCAAAACCGCATTTTTCCCTGCCGAGTGTCTTCGCCAAGGGACCAGGCACCAACCAGCCCATCTTCTCCAAACCAAATCCACACTCACATTCAAGGTAAATTAGGGGAAATCTCGATTATCGGTCCCCTGTTGATTTGTTGTTGGTTTTCAAAATGAGTGGCTCGACGAGGAAACTCGTCTATGGGTTGCAGGTACAAGGAGTCCGTCAGAGGCGGCGTCGAGATCGGAGTCGGATTCGTGTGCACGAGTTCATGACAAGACGGGCATCGGAAAACGGGAGAGAAGGAGGGACCAAGGCAAGGCGCGTCAACCTATCGGGTGTCTTGTTGGTCCGAGTTGCTGGTCGCTGGTCGCGGGAGCACAAATCAACTGACGGCGGCGGCGAGGTTGAACGGCAGACGAGTCGTGGGGAGGATTTGCAAAGGACGACGTCGCCGAAGGGGAGTGCCGGAAAACCAAGTTGCGAATTTGGTCGACAGAGCAGAAGAAAAGGATGAAAGGAGTGGAGGAAGAGAAAGGGTAGGTAGGTGAGAGTGAGAGGAAGAGTGAGTAAGGCGGACAAGGTTGAGCGCGAGGGTGAGGGGAGAAGTGAACGAATGTGTGAAAGGCGCCCAAAGAGGGTCAAAGGGTTCGTCTCAACACCATACAACTGAATGGAACTAGGGAGTGGACGGAAAAAGAGAAGGGAACGGGGAGATTGGAAGAATGAAACGAGTGGCAGGACAGCAGCAGCAGCAGCAGCAGGACCTGACGGACTGACTGTTGGTGTGTGTGTGCTGAGCAGACGGTAAAGACGGTGGTCACTTCTGCCAGGGTGACAGTGAAGCCTGGATGGAATTGGAAGGAGAGAGGAGCACTCAAGGACTGGAACCGGCTGAAGAGAGAGAACGGGCTGCGTGAGAGAGACGGGAGCGTTGGCCCGCTGGCTGGGGGGGGAGGCGAAGCGAAGCGCTGCTGCTGCGTTGCAAGGGTGCCTAGGTTTCTCTTGGCTGCGTGTGCGATCCCAGGAACGATATTACCTCGAGCCGGAGTGGGAAATGGGGAAGGGGGACAAATGCGACAAAAAGAGGGGACCGTTCAACCACACAAGTCACCAAGTGAACATCCAAGAGGATCTGGGGTCCGCCAGGTCCGCTACAGTAATTTCCCCTGTTCGTGCATATAATCCGGGACGGCACTTTGAATGCATTTAGAGGGATATATGCACGAGTAGGCTCGTGCCAAGACTTCCAAGCCGCCGTAGTAGAGGGATTTGCGGGGATGTTAGGGAGTCGGTATAGGTATAAGGCCCTAAAAGATTATAGATAGAAGGCGCTAATAAATGCATACGCACCAAAAAAACCGGGCGGTTTCATATGCAAATAGTTGTTATGCAATTGCCCATACTAAATAATTGCGGCCAGCGATCTGTAAGCAGTTAGAGGGTGTTATGCACGAGCAGGTGCATGCACGAGCAGGGGAAATTACTGTAGCCAACCGGGTACCCGCCGGCCCTAGCAGGCGCGGGAGGAGACTTCCCCCCTAACATGAAACGGAGCGCATTGTTGGTCGGCGATGGTTCCTTGATCGCATGCTCCGCTCCGTCAATTCCATGACTACCCTACCTCTACTGTCAGTGAAACCCTTGCTGACGACTCCCGCGCCGTCCAGCGGCTTCAGACACACCCACCACGAACCAGGTGGGCTTCCAATAATATCCTGGTGGCTTGCGATAGTGCGCGCTATTTCTTCCCGACGAAAAAAGAAAGGCCGTCTAGGCTCTGGGCTCCGAAATGAACAAGTCAGGTAGGTTTGATTTATGTTTCTCAGTGAGGGCCGAAGAAGAAACGTCAAGGCGTCCGTCTAGATCGGCACTCCGATCTTGATTCTGCATTGACCATGCGCTTATGCCCGTTCCTCATCGACGCGGTAGTCACGCATGCCAATGTTCTCACCCGAAAAGTGCATAAAAAAGGGGGGAAGCAATTGAACTGAAAGCTCTTCGCGTCCGGGCGGGCGTTCGCGTTGGATGAGGGTAACATCGGGATATGTGATGGACCAAACCCTGGACATGTTTTGCTCGCTCATCTTCCACTTGAACATTCTCCCTCCCGCGCTTCCCCTCTTTCATCTGTGCCCGCCGTGGAGAGATGGAACTGAAGTGGAACGTGATTGGAAGCAGTGCAGACTGGGGCGGGCCCACGGTTCTACATATCCTTCCCTTCCTTCCATGCATGCATCGCGCGCGCAAGTTCGCAACTGCACACAGGAACGGGCATGTAAAAAGCAACAAGCAATATGTACCAACCCAAGTACCAACTCCGTCGGGTTGCTAAGGATGGACGGCTTGACACCATGGCATGATCATGTTCTCTGTACCACTCACTCGGTCGCACAAGTGGCTTGTTTTGGGTGAGTGAATGCGAAGCTGAGATGTGCAAAAACGTATCCGATACTTTCCCTTCGCTGGTTAAAGTTTGCCAAAAGGCGTTCGATGTTGGTGGAGTCTATACTAGCCGGTCTTGTCTGGTTGGCTGCTGCCCAGCGTGTATCAATTGAATTTCGAATTGAATTTGATGCCGCTAGTCGCTGCTGCTCAGTCTACACTATGCTACGGTCCCTTGCCGCTTGGTGGACTGAGTGGATCCAATCCTCGCTGTTCCTGACGAGCGACGATCGGTGATTGGCTTGTGTAACCTTCTCCCCACCTCTGCAAGGGGAAGCAACAAGGGGACACATCCTTCTAGGGAAGGCACCGAGCGCGCCGCGCACGCACATTCACTCCTCACCATCACTCGTTCACCATTTCTCTCTCTTGTTTTTCCTTTCCTTGTCCATGTCCAGGCCTCATCATCACTTCCCTTGCCGTCGTCACCTTCCCCATCCCCAAAACTTCCCTTCCATCTTTTCCCCCTCCCTCCGTCCACACCTTTCGTGGTCTCCTCCACGCGTGCTTGCGCCATTCCGGCCTTCTAAGACTGGCCCTACATACCACCAACGGGACACCACCATCAGGAATCAGTTGAACCGACTGAGCCAACATACATTCGTTTCGCCATCATTTCCCAGTACCGGCTCAGCTACCTACCTCTACCTACCTAGAGGCCCCCCTGCCTACAAATGCCGGCCGTGTGCCATGGCGGGTAGGATTGTGGGCTTTTCTGCCAGCATGGAGGGTTGGTTATCTTGACATGGCCACCAACACCACGTCAATCTCCATCGCATGGGCAAAGAATTAGCACTGCCTCATTTCAATGGAACATTGAGCCTACCCTCCGCACATGGTTCAGCAACGACAGAGCCTCAAGCCCTGCAATCCGTGCCTATCAGGAGAATCCATTATCTCTAAGCAGCATGCGGCATGGCGTGCTCACCATACCTCAAACCCGAATATTGACCTCATAATCTTGCCAAAGCAAAGACCGCCAGCGTGAAACGAGACAAAGACTTCAGCCAAACCACGAGTGTTTCTTCAAGAGACCCAGGATTCGCAAGGGAAACGAAACGGCAGCGCCAAAGACGGTCCCCACCCCCATCTCTTCCTCGGTTTTTCTATATTCATCCTACGTTGTACTCTGTGCCATGTACGCTCAGCCTGCCATTCGAGAGGACAGGACCCCCCCCCGTCCAAAATGCTCAAGCCTCTCCTAGTACCTCGCAGCTTGTCAAACCCGTCCCTTGTTCTTCATGCGACCGCGACTAGCGGGAAACCACGAGCAAAAGTCGTTGCTGATCTTCAACTGTTCTGGCCGCGTTTGACACACCATGATACCCCTTCTCCCCTTTTGGCGATAACGTCGGAGCAGTTTGCTGTCTAAGAACTACTATCTCGTATCCTTCGCCATTTTTCTTTTCTGTTGCATGTTGCAGCCAGCACGATGTTATGTGCCATTTGCCCCCTGGATCGCCAAAGATTCGTCCGTATTCACACGGATCAATTACACTATTTGGCAACATGCAACCTGCTCCCATGATATAGGCATAATACTGTCTAAAAACCATCTTACTCGATCACCCGAACATGGTCGTGGTCCGGCGAATGTGTGGGAGCGCTGCCGCGCCACCCCTTGGATTGTTTCCGCGATTTTTCCTGCTTCATCACCAATTTTTGTGCCGCCTTGTTTGCAAAAAGGAAAACACGCTCAACAAGTCCAATAAGGCTCTTCTCCAGTTATCGTTACCTTGTCCCAACAAGCTCCCCGCTCGAGATACTCACACCATATAAGGTTGGTAGGATCATCACCCCGGAGTGCCATACTCAACATTTCAAGCATTAGCCTCGAGGTGGTTAGTGAGAACGCCAGAGGCTTCTGCGTTCATGTGTATGGGTCACCCGTCCAGGCTCACCGGCGAGTGTCTCTGCTCCCACAGCTACTTACCGATTACCTATAAGAAACGGATCATCTGTTGGTTCTCCTTGCCAGTTGCGGGAAAACGACACGTGATGCGCAGCCAAGAGTTGTACTGTGGCCAATGTAACTTCATTATGATATAGTTTATATCTCCAACTGGCCATCCCCGAAAATCAAGGTGTTTCGGGAATTCGGGATAATTCCCACGCGAACGAATAGCCCCCAAGTGTCGAATCACCAACGGCAAACCCATGTTAGAATGATTGACTCACCCGTACACTTTCAAACTTCCCGCACGGCCAGTGATGCAGCGCAGTCACATCTTTATCGTTTTGTTCTGTTTGTCAGCCATGGGTGTTGGGCAAGCAAGACAGAGGAAAGATTCATTGCAGCAGACGTTGAGGTTTGGACGGTGCAAATCCAGACAAAAGCTATCGCAGGCCGAAAGGGAGATCTGGGCCAGCTGCTATACAGCATCATTTCCACTTCCTTTCTTCCTACGTACTTTGCTCCACGTAAATCTCTTCTCCTATTTACTACGCCGGGCTTGTTTCGGGGAAGCATGACGATTGGGCTATCTTTACGAGCACGTTTGGATACAATAGATATCGTGCAGTCAGCCCCTATCCCGTTTTACGAGTGTGACGATGTATATAAAAACCACAACAACGCCTCATCACCTGGCTGTATCAGTCCCTACTTTCGAGGTCCGAGAAGGTGTAAGACGAGGGGAAATATCATAAACGGATTCATTTGGCATCGTCTATGATGCTACAGTTGAGGTGAGGATGTTATCCATTTCGGAAATAAGAGAAAAAGAAGAAAAAGCACCCATAACCAGCCTTGTGGTGCTTTCGTCAGGAACAATCAACAGCGATCGGAATGGACTCACAATATCAAAACATCAGAGTATCACTATGCGGACTTTACCGTCTGTTTCAGCTGTTCCGTCTTACCGGAAACTACTCAATGGCCTTGTGCTTATGCCAACTGACGGCCAATCACGTATATGTTCTCATAATTTACCTTTTCACACTGGAAACCAGGCTGCGTAAACGGTCCACGGACTTTCACTAGTTTTACTTGCAGTTGGAAGCCTGGGACTAATTGCAGGTATGATATGATGTGGCCTACCGCATCCCACGCACGAAGCATCCTCATTCCGGTAGCTCTACGGGTGGTAATCCTCAAGTCTTAATTTTCGGCTACTAAAGTCAAAGCTCTCTAGTCCCACCAACGATACAAGCGGCCAAGCACTTAAATGCAGGCAAGAGCGAAGAGATAGACCGGAAGCGCGTTGTCAGGGTCGCCAAAACCATGATGCAGATTCTCGGATGGCTGCCTTGTTGATGAGCTCGGGCAGAGTTGCTAAGTTCGTCAAATCTTTTCTGGTCGCTGTTCACCACGCCCCCTACCAGACTACCTCCTTATCTGGCCCGGGAGCAGCAGCAGTTGCCGCGATTCTCACAAGACATGCAGTTCGTGGTTGCGCAGATCGAGACACGGTGCCTGCCATCGCCCGAACTGCAACACCGACAACATATATTGAGTTCAGTTACCCTGTACCGGCGATAGATGAGTAGTGGCGGAATCTGAAATCAGGTTTTGCAAGGCGGCAGATCCTCACTCTGTTGCGCAACCCCAGGTTTTCGCGGTCAACAAATACTGGGGTGAAGTCACTACCCGATGTATAATTCACGGCAGCCAGCCAGTCTAGGTTCTGAACTGATCGTCGACTCGTGGCAGCGTCTTGGTACAAACTAGACGCTGCTGGACGGAAGGCTGCCGTACCAGGGCGGGTTTGGTGTAATTCCTGATAAATGATTGTGTCTTCGAATCTCAACAAAGAAAGCTCAGATCTTAAATGGTAGGCAAGGCAGCCGCCGACACACTGCAAAGTTCATAGTTGCCGGTTCGGGTGGCACAAGAGGATAGAAGTGAAGCAAACCATGAGATTACAATATGGCCTGTTTGTCACATCGGAACCTCAACTGTTATCAATCTACAAGTTCTTTATTCACCCTATTCAGTTCAGCATGCCAGTTGCCGGGACCTCGTTATATTTACCATTGCACACTACAATTAAACGCCAGCCTCCATATAAGATTACGGTGGTAGCGATGGAGGAGATGGGAGGTCCCAGCAAATGAACTCCCAGAGCCTGTGCGTACTGGACGCATGCCGGGTCGATCTAAAGCAACTTCAACACAACAGCAAAGACTGGCGTAGTGTTGCCCCATGGCGCGATTCAGTCAATCAATTCATTGCACAACGTCCATCTAATTATCGGCTACCACTTCCCTCTTGCTCGGCTCACATCTTACAAGGTACCGTGCATCTCGGCCGTCTTCGCACCACATTGAGTTGGGCGCTGTGTGGCAAAAAGAAAGCATCACCAGTAACTGGGCGAATGAATGCCTGATTACTCGCCCCTTACCAAACTTCCATCCACGATATGAGTGACCCCATGCCTCCAATTTCAGATCGGCTGCTCTTCTCAAATTGACAATGTGATGTATCATCTACCATGTGCTCGGGCCAAACACCAGGGGACCATAACGTGGCACAGGGTTGCTGCTATGTCTCAAGCAGAGCAAATCTGGGCGCACCTTGCTTTTCCATTGTACCGTCCAAAGCATCAACCGCCCTTTGACGGATTAAGCCAGTATGAGATATGGTCTTGAGACCATTCTCTGCACGTTCCTCATTTTTAGACAGCTGCAATCCGTTGTGGATCAGCGGTCCTGCAGCCACAAACACGGACAACGGCTTGCAAAGGACAATTCCGCTGTCGGCCTGTGTCAGAGCGTAAACTTGAGTACTAAATTCAGTCCAACAAGGATTGATTTGTCAAAGGAACAGCCCTAAAGAAAGGAGAAAGAGGTAGCAGAAAGGCTCGCGAATTAAACCACCATAATGAGCATCATTATGGAAGTGAGCCTCAAACCCCTCACGAGAGAAACAACCAACGGATGATGTCCTGTCGCATTCCGTCCTAGATCTGACTTGCTTGCCTTGCATCAAGATGCGGGAAAGCATAAAGACAGGGGGGTTGAGGTAGTTATCCGAGATCGGGGCATCCAGTTCAGTCATCAACCAGCTGGAGGACTTGTGATGAGATATCCTATGTGATATTGGGGTCTTGTAAGTGACCAGATCAACGGAATCTGGTTTCAGCAGGGCCACAGTCTTATGCTAGCGAAGCCAGCTTCCCAGCGAAAGTTGCCACAAGAAATCCGCTTATAGCTTGGTCAGGCAATTTCACTAATTCATTCATGGCTGACTTGCTGATTGCCCTACCTCCAAACTTCTGGGGGTTAGCAGCAGAGAAAGGATCTGTTGGTATGCCTTCACCCCTCTTTTGGTCACAACCAGCCGTCCTCATTTCCAATTAACTAACTCAGATCACATCACACACGGGTATTCATCTACTAGATTAATATTTGTCTAGGTGGTGTGTTAAGGTAACAGCCCGGGGGTCGTTGGCCGTCTACTGTACCCTTCCAGGGCTCAATGGTACAGGTCAAAGACTGTATTACGTGACATGCGAGGCTCTAAGTCAACAGTCAGGGCTACATTTACCTTACCGCCCACGCGGCAAGATACACACCATCTGGGTCCGAATCTGGATTGACGCAGAGATGGAATCGTAGACCACATATGCCAGTTACCGACTTGTATGCAGATGAGATCTTCGAGTCATAATAAATTTCGCGGGAAGGTATTTGGCTACCAATGAGCAATCTACCCGATCATCCAAGTGGAGGGCAAGGTAGCTCCTCCTCGATGCCCACTTCCACGACCAACCTCACTTGGAAATCACACTCCAAGCCGAGTCCCAAGAATAGAAACAAGACTGGGCAAGTGCCACGAGCCTGAGGTTTTCAACCGTATCATCCATGTTGGTTTCTTCCACATTTCCTTCAAATATGGGTGGATCGTCATCTCTTTTTTGGGCACTTTCACCGGCCTTTTCTCCTTCCATTCTCATTCGTCCACGCACCACGAACGGCAAGCCAGCAACAAGTCATTCCCAGACACCGTCCTGGACGCCATTCTTTCCCTGGAATATATTCGTCAGCTCTTGCTCGGTTGTTTTCTTAAATCTCTCTAATTGGGAGTCATTCTCTCGAAACTAGACTCCTTCCGGGCTAGCGAGAGGAAGAAGAAAAACAAAAACGTGACGTCGTCCTGGCTCATCTCCACCACTCCTTAGACTCGGTGCTGCTTGTCATCACAGTCGATATCACAAGCTTCCAGGCATTGCTACCCGTTGTGTTGGGTCCTTGCCTTACCTCACTAGGTGCGGGATCTGCCTCGCAGGGTTACTAAGTCACGCCGTTGGATTTGTCACCTGAGGTCCCTGGTCCCAATAGTTTGTCGACTTGAAAGGTTACCCTTGACTCGGCTACTTTAGGGAACGCTGTTTAGGCTCCAGAAGAGAACGGATCCGCCCTTAGAAGACCCCACGCGATCGAGATCTGGTTCAGATGCCCAAGTCACGTCACATTAAGGAAGTTTCTCACGGTTCGGTTGGAAAAAACATCAGGAAGTTCCGCGTGGTGTTTGGTTAACGGCCAAGCCCCCGATTTACCTCAGCGCTGACAAACCTTTTTCACATCTGCTCATCGATCCCTCTCGGCTCGGAGACTCATCACACCACGCTAGCTTTCTTATTCGCACCCCTTTTCCAGCACACGAAGCATCCCTTGTCCACTCTTGGCTAAGAAAATTGGTGTCAGTCACCCGGCCGTTCTTCAGCAACGTAGACTAGACTAGGGCCAAGGTCGGCCGAGAAGTCGATCATTCACTAGTAGTGAGCTAGTGAAAATTGGGGAAGACGATCGGAGATCGACAATATATATCGAACAGTAATACCGATATCTGGAGAACGGTTAGGTTGTGATCGGATATCGGAGACTTGTGATTAGGTTCGAGTAAGGTAAGTGGACGAGTTGGAAAGAAACAAACGCCAAAAGTCGGAGATCGGAGAAAGGGGATATCGGTTGAAGAGCTGGGTATATAAACTAAGGACCAGAACGGACGACATACGTCGAGAGATATCTCCTGTTCGGCCACTCACTTGTTTTCCGGGACACAGACAACAAGCAAGCAAGCAAGCAAGCAAGCAAGCAAGCAAGAAAGCAAACAAACAAACAAACAAGCAAACAACCAGCAAGAACAACACAATGGGTGTCAACAAAATCACTCACGTTGCGGGTATCGGGCCACAACCAGAAGCTGGCCAGACCGTGATTATCGAGTATACTGGTTGGCTGAAGGACTCGAGCCAGGCCGATGGAAAGGGAGCCCAGTATGTTCTTTTCCCCTTTGAAAAAATCTTGCCTTACCATACACGTCTCCGGTTGTTAGTCAGTTTTGATAACACTATATCCAGATTCGACAGCTCGATCGGTCGTGGGGATTTTGTCACGCAAATCGGGGTTGGGAGACTCATCAGAGGTATATGCCCACCATCGGTCCACTTTTCCCATATATCGGAGACTTTATACTGACGTGCTGCTCTCTAACGGGTATAGGATGGGATGAGGCTGTATTGGAAATGAAGGTTGGCGAGAAGGCCACTTTGGATATCTCTAGGTGAGTTATCCCTGAGTGAACGATGTGTCAGGGGAAGAAATTGATACTGACGAGACAATATGTGTTAGTGATTACGGATACGGAGAGCGGTGAGTAACCAACCTGTCTCTTTTTTTTTTCCTTCTCTCTCTCGAAGATCCAAAACTCAGTCCATTTGGTTTATCCCCACCCACAGATATAATAGTTCTGGCCGTGTTGATTTGGAGTTAATGTCCATGTGCTGACTCGATACTATTGCACACCAGGGGTTTTCACGGCCACATTCCTCCGAACGCGGATTTGATTTTGTGAGTTGTCTCTTGTATGCTACATATCTTGCTCCAGCTTGTCTCCTCAGTCAAGGTAGCGAAGGGCAAGATAGCGACAGCAAGGATACGAGCTAATATGTGATAGTGACGTATATCTCAAGGGTCTCCAGTAGCTAGGCGGTTCACTGATCTCGGGAAAAGGAGATGAGGTCCTTAGTTCAACGCCTCCAATGAGCCAAAGTAGGGACCGCTGGGCAAGAACCCACTGGAACTTGAAGTTCTTTTGAGAAGATACCTAGATTTCATGTCGATGATGGCGATGACGAAAACACAGATGGTTGGTGTTTACGTTGGGAGGAACCTTGATGGGTAAAGACGAGGAATTGATTGAATGACGGAGGTTAAGCGATACAGGGAAGGGTGAAGTACCCGCGCAGCTATGTTAATATGGAGAAGTACCTACAAGCGCCTCATTGAATGTGATTGGCTCACTACGATAAGAGAGCACAAGTTGCCTGCCGGATGGGCTGAGTGGCTGGTCCTTGCTTACTGTCGGGTACCAAGTACGTTTTGCCGCCATCGGTACATCGGGCAAGTACCTCTAGTGCATGACCGCCTCGTACTACTGCGGGATGTTAGTAATAATTCGATCCTTCTATGGCTGTCCTCACGGTTCCTTCATGTGCGCGTGAACCCCAATACATATTGGCTTCAGCATCAATGAGACTCTGAGTCAAGGTTTATCCGATCAGATAGGAGACACCTGGGCACAGCCAGTGTGAATCGAGGTTGGGTAGAGGTAGAGGTAGCTACCTAGCATAGCCACTTGATGTACAAGTGATAGGTGCGAGGCCGCATACGGTGAAGGCTACAGCACACTGCCCTAACAGCAGTACACACAGCGACCTGCACGCTGCAGCGGTGCTTGGCCAACGACGGACAGTGCATCACATCACCATTCCCCGCAGTTCCCCTTGATGCTTGACAGCTGGTGGCGGGGCTGACCGAACCTCCCTCGACATCCCCGCCGCCCGACCTTCCAGATTACAGACAGCTTCCACTTCCACTTCCACTTGCACTTGCACTTGCACTTGCACCTTGACATAGTACGACATAGTAGCACTTGCGCTTGATCGTCTGTTTTCCCGAGTCATTCAACTACAACATCGGCGTTTTCTTTGGACCAACATCGCCAACTTGAAGTATCACAATACCCAACCACTGCGAATCAACAACTTAGGTCGTCGTTCTTGTTTTTGCTCTGTTTGCGTCACGAACTTTCCACCATCCATAATCTACCGGCCCGCCCGTGATCAACAGTCGCCAAGCTGGGGAAGCGCAAAGTATCCGAAGGGGACCTACCCATCTCCCTAAAGAGAACCATGACAGTGAGTTGAAAACCCGTTTGTTCACATGAATCCTACATGGGATGGCAGATGCTTGTTCCTGGTAGCTAGCGCCAGTCAGTCTGACACTTTCGTGATGCCATCTCCCAGGACACTCAGAAAAACGAGGTCGACCTTGTCACCAGGATGCAAGTGGACGAATCAGTAGCCGGCACCACGGCCGAGATCGATGAGTCCCTCTACAGTCGCCAGCTCTATGTCTTGGGCCACGAGGCCATGAAGCGCATGAGCGCTTCCAACGTCCTCATCGTCGGCCTCAAGGGCCTCGGCGTCGAGATCGCCAAGAACGTCGCCCTTGCTGGCGTCAAGAGCCTCACCCTCCACGACCCCGAGCCCGCCGCCTGGGCCGACCTCTCCGCCCAATTCTTCCTCCGCCCTGAGGATGTCGGCAAGCCTCGCGACCAGGTCACCGCTCCCCGCGTTGCTGAGCTCAATGCTTATACCCCCGTTCACATCCACCAGTCGCCAAGGTAGGTTATGAATCGGACGGAAGTGAGCTTGACAGGTTCGATAGCTAACCGTGGCCTCTGTACAGTCTCGCCGATAACCTGTCGCAGTTTGACAAGTACCAAGTCGTCGTCCTTACGAACCAGCACACCGATCTCCAGACTATTGTCGGCGAATACTGCCACTCCAAGGGCATCTACTTTATTGCTGTCAACACACACGGCCTCTTTGGCGGCATCTTCTGCGATTTCGGCGATAACTTTACTGTCATGGACACGAACGGCGAAAACCCCGTTAACGGTATCGTGGCTGGAATCGACGAGGAGGGTCTCGTTTCTGCGCTTGACGAGACCAGGCATGGGCTTGAGGATGGCGACTATGTGACGTTCTCGGAGGTCGAGGGTATGGAGGGACTCAACGGCTGCGAGCCCCGCAAGGTCACCGTCAAGGGCCCCTACACCTTCTCTATCGGCGACGTGTCCGGGCTTGGCCAGTACAAGAAGGGCGGTCTCTACCAGCAGGTCAAAATGCCCAAGACTATCGAGTTCAAGAGCATTACCAACGCGCTCAAGGATCCCGAGTTTGTCATCTCCGACTTCGCCAAGTTCGATCGCCCTCAGCAGCTCCATATTGGATTCCAGGCTCTCCACGCTTTCGCCAAGTCTCAGGGACGTCTACCAAGGCCGATGAACGACGAGGATGCGCTTGTGGTTATCGCCTCGGCCAAGGAGTTTGCCAAGCAGCAGGGTGTTGACGTCGAGTTCGACGACAAGCTTCTCAAGGAGCTCAGCTACCAGGCTACTGGTGACCTCAACCCCATGGCCGCTTTCTTTGGTGGTCTTACCGCCCAGGAAGTTCTCAAGGCTGTTTCGGGCAAGTTCCACCCCATTAAGCAGTTCATGTACTTCGATGCGCTCGAGGCTCTTCCCACCAACTCCAAGCGCACCGAGGAACTCTGTGCGCCCACTGGTAGCAGGTATGACGGCCAGATCGCGGTCTTTGGAAAGGAGTTTCAAGAGAAGATCTCGAACGTCAAGCAGTTCCTTGTTGGCGCTGGCGCCATTGGCTGTGAGATGCTCAAGAACTGGGCCATGATTGGTCTCGGAACAGGCCCTGAGGGCAAGATTACCGTTACCGATATGGACTCGATCGAGAAGTCCAACTTGAACAGACAGTTCTTGTTCCGTCCCAAGGACGTTGGTCAGATGAAGAGTGACTGCGCGGCCAAGGCTGTGCAGGCCATGAACCCTGACCTCGAAGGCCACATTGTTTCTCTCAAGGATCGCGTTAGCCCCGAGACCGAGGAGATCTTCAATGAGGAGTTCTGGCAGGGTTTGGATGGCGTCACTAACGCGCTGGACAACGTTGAGGCGAGAACGTATGTCGACAGGCGGTGCGTTTTCTTCCACAAGCCTCTCCTTGAGAGTGGTACCCTCGGCACCAAGGGCAACACGCAAGTGGTGCTTCCTAGGCTCACTGAGTCCTACTCTTCCTCCCAGGATCCTCCTGAGCAGTCGTTCCCTATGTGCACTCTCAGGAGTTTCCCCAACAAGATCGAGCACACCATTGCTTGGGCTCGTGAGCTGTTCGAGAGCTCATTTGTCAAGCCTGCGGAGACTGTCAACCTTTACTTGACCCAGCCTAACTATCTCGACACTACCCTGAAGCAGAGTGGCAACGAGAAGGCGACGCTGGAGATGTTGGCGGACTTCCTCAAGCACGAGCGCCCGCTCACCTTTGAGGATTGTGTCCAATGGGCTCGCATGCTATTCGAGAAGCAGTACAACAACGCTATTCAGCAACTTCTCTACAACTTCCCCAAGGACTCCGTGTCCTCGACCGGCACCCCCTTCTGGTCCGGACCCAAGCGCGCCCCTGACCCGCTCAAGTTCGACCCTGAAAACCCCACCCACTTTAGCTTCCTCGAGGCTGCTACCAACCTCCATGCCTTCAACTATAGTATCAATGCCAAGGGCAAGAGCAAGGCCGACTACCTCCAGGCTTTGGAGGGCATGATTGTGCCTGATTTCTCCCCTGACTCGAACGTCAAGATTCAGGCTGATGAGAAGGAACCTGTAAGTAGTTGCCACGACGAGTTGTGTGTTGAGGATAATGCTAACTGAAAGTAGGACCCGAACGCAGATAACACTGCCTTCGATGACGAGTCGGAGCTCGGTAACCTCAAGTCCCAGCTCCCTGAGCCCAAGTCCCTCGCTGGCTTCAAGCTCAATGTTGTGGAGTTTGAGAAGGACGATGACACCAACTACCACATCGACTTCATCACGGCCGCCAGCAACCTGCGCGCCGAGAACTACAAGATTGAGCCTGCCGACCGTCACAAGACCAAGTTCATCGCCGGCAAGATCATTCCCGCCATCGCCACCACGACGGCCCTGGTCACCGGCCTCGTCGTCCTCGAGCTGTACAAGATCATCGACGGCAAGACCGACATTGAGCAGTACAAGAACGGCTTCATTAATCTGGCCCTGCCCTTCTTCGGCTTCTCCGAGCCCATCGCCAGCCCCAAGGTCGAGTACAATGGCCCCAACGGCAAGGTCACGCTCGACAAGATCTGGGACCGCTTCGAGGTCGGCGACATTACCCTGCAGGAGCTGATTGATGATTTCGAGAAGCGCGGTCTGTCCATCTCCATGTTGAGTTCCGGTGTCAGCTTGCTGTATGCCTCGTTCTTCCCGCCTGCCAAGCTCAAGGATCGCTATGCTCTCAAGCTCAGCGAGCTGGTGGAGACGATTAGCAAGAAGCCCATCCCGGCGCATCAGAAGGAGTTGATCTTTGAGGTGGTGACGGAGGATGCGGATGGTGAGGATGTGGAGGTTCCTTATATCAAGGCGCGGATCAGGTAGATGATTGGCATAAAAGGGGGTGTGGAAGACGGTGTAGATATCAGATGAGCTGTTTTTGGGTGAATGAATACAGTCAAAGTCAAGTCAATAGAACGTTACTTTTTACTTCTTGGTTTATGATTCTTTTACATTAGGTGTACATGAATTCAAAGCAGAAGGAGTCTGGCTTAGTGCCGGTAAGGATGAGGTGATGACGATAGAAACGCTGAAGTAAGAGTGCCAGGAAAGTGATTAAATCATATTTTACAAAAGAGAGGACGGCTACTTACTATAAATATAGTCTTACAATACCACATGAGAAGTTCTTCAAGGCTCGTTCAGAGGCTAATCATCGACATATCTACTTCGCTACATGACTACGTACTACATAACTACGTGACACAAAGACTTCGTCTCTCTTCCCACAACGTCTAACACCTATTCAAGGCCAACCCAAATACAAACCCAAAGTAATCAAGACAGGCTTAACAGACACCATAAAACCATGGACGTACTTGACTAGTAGTTAGGTTGGTAAACGACCAGCGAATGCCAGGTATTGTATGTTTCTTTATGTATTTCACCCATTGCCTCTCGCCTTCATTTTTTTTTTTTCCTTTCATCTCCTCGGCTTTAAGGTTTGACTCTTGCGTGTTTGTATGTGTTTGTCTACCATCGTCTTGTGTCAATTTTCTGAACCGGTCGAGTTTTATAGGATGGTCGATACATTAACGGTGGTGGGCCACCCGATTACGGTCTTTTTTCTTAATCTTTTTGAAATTTTCATTAGAAATAAAATCAATTACCTACCATTCATATGCAGGGAAATGGACCCCAATTTATGGTAAGTGGAGTGATGGAGCGAGTAGAGGGGGAAATATATTAACGTGGATAGTCCTATTTGGTCACTTAATATCGGGAAGGTCGTAACAAGATAATGACATGTCACTTGCCATTGCCAACGCAAACACCTGAACAAGACTCAATTTGGCACGCTTTGAATTGGGAAATGCATTATGATTTAGACAAGGTTCAATGGAGACCGCTTGATACAAAAGAGTGTACCAAAAGTGTGATGTATTCGACTCGACGCTAAGATCAGCTCGGCTACTCTCATTGCTTCGCTGCCCATCTTTGCACATACAGCCACTTCAGCTCGGTACCGCACCCGTTGTATTTGACTGCTTCAATGAGGTTTTCGCCTAGAAAATCCAACACCCTCATCATTTCTTCCGCAGAGATCTTGGGACTATACCTCCTCTGGATATCCCTAATGGCGGTCTGGAGGTCCGCTGCGCCAGGTAACGACTGGTTTAACGTTGCAGAGGGGATCGGCTTGGTAGACGTCACCGTGCTCTGTGTACTTGCTGTACTGGTGGACATCCTCCTTCGTGTTGTTGGTTTCGCATCATCCTTGTGCGCCTGGGCACTCCTCATCACCTTCACTGCCTGTGCCATGTCCTTCAACACCTCCCTCTTGACCATCTTCTCCATCTTCACCGTGATATCCTCACGGATATCCTCGACCCACTCGTCTTCGATCTCCTTCCGCAGCTCCTCTTGGGCTAGTTCAACCGTCTCAGCCACCCATTCCTCCGTCTGGCTTAGGAGCGCGCCCTCGAGTTCGCGACGCACATCATACAAATGATCGTCGATTCTTTCGTCGACTTTGGTGTTTATGTGACCGAATATTTGCTCCACCTCCTCTGTGTCGTATCTGCATGTGCTTTCGGCATTGAGACACTCGGTTATCAGTTTCTCAACCTGTTTGACCCGAACATCGAGGCTGGCGGTGCGGCCGAGCACTCGACGTATTGCGAGGAGAATGTGCTTGTCAGTTGGAGAGTGAGATAAGAGCTCGCTTGTGCGTCGACGCTTTCGGTCTGGAACGGTAACGGCATTAGCTTGGAGCAGGTGATTGCTGATGATACCAAAAGGGACGTACCAGTCGGGGTGGAGAACTGATTCGGGCTTTGAAGAAGTGAGCCCGAGGTGGAAGGCGGCTGCACCTGTTCATCTGTTGTCACAGGAGACAAGGATTCACTTATACGTCGCTTTCGATCTGAAAGTGCACAGTGTTAGTTGCTGCTTGAGAGATAGCGTGACGGTGATGGAAAACAGGATGACCGTACCAATAGGGGCCAAGTACCCCGGCGCATTCCGAGACGAGCTATCGTTGGTATATGGGGGAGGGATGACGTCTGTCGGTTTCGCTGCTGTTTCCTTTGCAATTTCTTCCAAAGTCTGGTTGTGATTAGTGCCAGAGGGAGGAGCAGTCTTGCCCAAGTCGATAACCTGACCGGGCCCGCCATGGAACAAAACGTCGAACGATGCCAATATCTCGTCCGTCCGCATTAGGCCAAATGGACGAGAGGACGAGAAGACCGACGGGAGCAAAGCTAGCTGCTCTCGATACTCCGGTGTAAGGTTGAGGCGGTTCAGGTAAACAGTGAACTGGCACAATGTAGCCAGGGACTTCATGCTGTCAAAAAGAGCTTGATACCGAGGCCTTGGCTCGTAAGACCCTTTGTTTGCCGTTGGCGCCACGAGACTAGGTGGTTGTGTCATCGTAAACTCTAGGGAAATGAAGTTGTCGCCGTCAGGTCCCTGCATGGCGGGCGGACGATGACTGCGAGCAAACTCGATCGACTGGATCGTCTCTGGATGAACAAGCAAGTACAGCTTTTTCTTGGTGTTGCCATCTTTGAGTAGGATAAAGCCATGCAGTTTGAACATGGCTAGCAACTTTTTGGTATCTACGTATAGATCGATACGCAAATCCGATGTGTGTTGTTTCTCCAGGTCGATGCCGTTGTTCCAGGCAACAACTCCATTAAGCTCAGAGAGGTTGATTTTGCAACGTTTCTCGTCATCGTCGCTTGCGAAGGATGTAGTCGCTACGTAACTTTCGCTGTGTTTGCCGCCGGGCATGTCTCCATCGATGCCACCAATCTCCCTGTAACCATATTCGTAAGCGTAATCTGAGAAGGGGAAGATCCGCCGATCTCGCGTGACGATGCGACTATCAGCAACGGTCCCAAACGAATCAAGAGCCCCAGTCCTTCCAACAGGCGTACCTGCCGGGTAGGAGTTGGCTATTTATAAAGACCCCTAACAGCTTGGGACGCATACTTGCGGACGCAGGGTCAGCCATATAGCTCTTAGCAGCGTCCTAGGCGAATCAAAAGCCCCAGTCCTTCCAACAGGCGTACCTGTTGGGTGGGAGTTGGCTATTTATCAAGACCCCTGACAGCCTGGGACGGTATGCTTTGAGCATATGGCCTGCGAGAGACGGAGCGGGCATGTGTTGTGATGGGCATTCAGCGCTAGCCGAGAGGAAGGGAGGGAGGAAGGGGAGAGAGGATTTGAATCAGTGAGCATGGTGCCGCAGCTCTTGCAGACAATGTATCTGTATCAGTAGCGGTCTCAAGCGAGTCAAAAACCTTAGTCCTTCCAGCATCGTGCACACATGCTGGGTAGAAGTTGACTATCTAGAAAGGTCCTTGATAGCTTGAAACGCGTACTTCCAGACGCATCGGCCCCAAGCTCTCTCAACAGCGTCCTAGGCGAATAAAGAGACCCAGTCCTTCCAGCAGGCGTACCTACTGGGTAGGAGTTGGCTATTTATAAAGACCCTTCACAGCCTTGGGCGGTGTGCTGTGAGCATATGGCCTGCGAGAAACTGAACGACGACAGTCCACGGTGTTCAAAGGGGAGGGGAGAAGAGGAGGGGGGAGATATTGAACGAAACCTGGTGCCAGTGACAATCGACCGGCTGCTCCTGCGTGACAATGCGAACATGGGGCAGACAAAGGGCGTATGGCTGGATTCGCATCGTCCGGGAGAAACCGAGCAATCATCGCACCGGTAGCATGATCATCACTGACCCTGGAGAGGATATTGAAAACGGCTGGGTTGACTCGCATCCGTCGTCGTGATTATCGGGTTCACGGTGATCGGGGAATGGAGGAGGTGGTGTAGAGGGCAGGGAGTCTGCCATGGCGACGGCCTAACGGGTTAAATGGGGGGTGAAAAGATAGGTCAATCAATCGCGTTCATTGGAATCCCATTGACGACGAGGCGGCGGTCGATAGAGAGGTGGAGGGCCCGACTCGTTTGTTGACTTTGTGGAGCGTTGTTCACGCAAATGTGAACGACGTTGCGGCCTCTATCCCTGGCTACCTACGCAAAGTCACATGACCGCGACGAGTGTAACCTGCACCGCCATGCATTGTCACCAGCCACTTCGGATCGAAATGAAGACACCAGCCACGATTGGCCCAAAAAGCCAAGACCAGCCAATGGGATGCAGTGAGGTCATTGACAACTTTCAATCGGACTTCGGGCTGCTCAGTAATCTGCGACTAACATGATGCGTCTTGTTTGTCAGCGTCATGGTGGATGTTTGGCGAATAACGTTTTGGGCCTGTAAATGCAGTTCGGTATAAATACCGTAAACAACCTTTTGTACATGATCGCGCAGTTAGCATCAACACTATCGTCACACCTGTGAATCCCTCATGAGCCTTCGCTTTCGTCTCAACCTCGCTGCAGTGAGATCTCCAACTTTGCTTCTACCCCGCAGCATCAGTTCATCTCTTGTCTCAACCGTCGTCGTCCGAACCTCAACCCGCAACATCTCAACTCTATTGCAACCGTTCCCGTTGCCCCACGCAACTACACCAAACAACTTAACTAAAAGAACCATCAACACCACTACACCCACGATGGCCACCTCCGACACAATCACCAACTGGGTAGACCCCAACGACAAAACCGGCGAATTCAAGCGCCAAGTCTCCTCCTTCCGCTCCTTCATCTCTCGCTCCGACCCTTCCTCCCCCTTCCCCCCCGAAAAGGGCCGCTACCACCTCTACGTCAGCTACGCCTGTCCGTGGGCCACGCGCGCCCTGATTGTGCGCAAGCTCAAGGGGCTAGAGGATATCATTTCCTTTAGCTCTGTGCACTGGCACATGGGCCCATTGGGGTGGCGGTTCCCCCTCGCTGAAGAAGGAAAGGAGGGCGGGGATGCGGCTGGGGACCAAGTGGTGCCTGACCCGGTCGGTGGGAAGCAGTACATGCGGGAGGTGTATTTCGGGGTGGAACCGGAATACAATGCGCGGTTCACGGTGCCGGTGCTTTTCGATAAGAAGGAGGGGCGCATCGTGAATAATGAGAGCAGTGAGATTGTGAGGATGTTGGGGAGCGAGTTCAATGAGATCGTGGAGGATGCCAAGGCGAGGGAGTTGGATCTGTATCCCGAGGATTTGAGGGCCGAGATTGATGAGGTGAATGAGTGGGTTTACCATGATATAAACAACGGGGTGTACAAGAGCGGGTTTGCGACGACGCAGGAGGCGTATGAGCGGAATGTCACAAAGTTGTTTGAGGGGTTGGATAAGGTCGAGAAGCATCTGAAGGAGGTGCAGGAGAAGGGCAAGGGGGAGTATTGGTTTGGGGAGAGGTTGACCGAGGTGGATGTGAGATTGTGAGTTGTTTTACCTGCCTGCCTCCTGGGAGCTGAGTGAGAAGACAGGGATGCTGACGATGCGAACAGATTCCCGACCATTATCCGCTTCGACCCCGTCTACGTTCAGCATTTCAAGTGCAACTTGCGCGACATCCGGTCTGGATATCCAGCCATCCACAGGTGGATGCGCCATCTCTACTGGAACGTCCCTGCCTTCCGTGAGACGACCAACTTCTTGCACATCAAGAAGCACTACACTTGCTCGCACCCTCAGATCAATCCCAAGGGTATCACGCCGTTGGGCCCGGTTCCGGATATCCTGCCACTCGACGAGGAAGTTGAGGCTGTCAAGGCTGCGAAGAACTGATGTAGGGAGCAGCTACCTCTATGGTATGTACCTGCCGGTGTCCAATTAATAGCTGAACAACATAGAGATTATCAGTAATTGCAATCCTCTTTGTCGCCTAGCAACCTAGTCTGCCACATGTTTGTCATCTAGGTTTACCAGGCTTCTTCCTTTATTCGCTGAACAATAGGCTTTCTTGTTGCACCAAGCGAAGCGGCACATGTCTGAAATCTGCTTATGCAATCAACATTCCTTCTACCCGCACATATCATTACAATGTCATGAAAAGCGCAAGGTGTAGCGAGCCACATAACTTGGAGGTTCTCTTTGGTTTCTGTTGATTGGGTCCTAGCTACATGTATGTGATGAATCCGTTGTTCGACTTCCTTCATCTCAAAGCGGACGGTTCCCATTTCAAACTGACCGTTTAACCTTTCATCGACCAGGGCGTCGTGTCCAGGTAGAATGTTGTATGAGTCTCTACCTGCCAGCGACTACTCCCTTGACCGGAAATTCTAGGTAATAATCTTTGTTAAACTGCATCGTGATGAGTATTGAGCATTGCAATGAATGCTTTCCCAATGTTAGGCCGATAGGCAAAGCCTTCCACATCCTCATCGAACTTTTGGAACCACTCAGTGTTTCCAGATATCGTCGAGGACGATGACCTTCCTCTCCATTGCCTTGAATAGGTACCTTGATCTGCTGGAGGTCGAAACGCGACCACAGAACAAGGGTTTGGTAGGGGATGGGGGTTGGAAACGACAGGTAGGTTAGATCCGGTAAGAACGATGCCAACACGGGTTGAGGTGACCGAGGTGCTGTTCGATCTTGTAGAAAGAGCGCTCCTGTGTCTTCTGTTATGAAACCACAATGATGCGTTAGTAAATGAACAGACCTACTTTCAAGTTGTCGACAATCGCCCCCAAGAAAGGAAACAACAATGAACTTACCTCAGACTTAGTATCAATCTTTTGCTTCTTAGGAGCAAGAAGGCTCTTCACCGTGTCCCTCTTGAACTTCTGGAACCAATCCGACCTCTCCAGCAGCGCCTTCAAGTCAATCGTGCCCCGGTCCGCAACCTTTGTGCTCTCATTCACAAACGGCTCGACGCTAATCACCACCTTCTCCAGACGTCCCTTCTTCCGCAGCACGTCCAGCCGATTGATCGACCACGAGAAGAAGCGAAAGTACTTGAAGGTCGAATACGGCATCTTACCGCTAGCAAACCGACCCTTACGCTGGATCAGACTCTTGACATCCTTGGGCCGGACATGGGCGCTCCGCATCGCCACCACGATCTCTAGCGTCTTGACATTCTTGCAGTTCTTCAACCAGTCCAGCGCGGCCCGCTGCATGTCGCACTGCTCGCGACGGTACACGGGACCGACGTGCCAAGCCACGTGCTCCACGTACTCAGTCAGCAGCGGCGACAAGGTCGCGTCCTGCCAAAGCAGGCTCATCGACTCCGTCAGCTTGTCGCTGCCGTGCCAGCTGTCGGAGTAGTTCCAGCGGAAATGAGAGTCGTACCGCAGGTACAGCTGCGTGCTGCGAAAGTACTCGGCGTAGGCGACGTAGCGGATTGCCGAAGAAATGGCGCCGAGCTTGAAGAGACCGCGGAGCTGGGCGCGCAGGTGGCGGGGGTTGGAGTAGAATTCGAGGCGATGCTGGTAGGAAGCTTGGTCGGAGGGCGAGGTGTCGGGGGTAGTGTGCCAGACGAAGCGGTAGATGATCAGTTTGAGCTCCTCGGGGAGCTTCATGAAGGGGAAGATTCCTTGGGGTTGAAATGGGGGTGAGGGGATTGGGGCTGTGGTTGGGGCAGCAGGAACCAGGCCGGCAGCACGCCGAGCGGCAGCCTGAGCCTGAGCGGCAGCAATGGCTCTCTGCCTCAGCCGACCGTTCATACCCTGAGATTGAGCGGTAGCACTACGCTTCCGCTGAGCGGCCATAAGAGCAGATGGAGTCTGCTGCCGAGCGGTAGCTTGACCTTGAGCTTGAGCGGCAGCCTGGGCCTGAATTTGAGCAAAAGCCTGAACATCAGCCGCAACAATAGCACTCTGGCCTTGAACATAGGCCTGCTTCCCAGCGGCCATAAGAGGCGCATATTGAGCATTGGCCGTGGGCGGGTTTCTACCCGTGACGGAGGGGCCTACGACAGGATTAGCCACGACATGGGACTGGTTGGCCGTAGCCTGATTGCCGTTGACAGGGTTGCCGAAGGCCCAGTTGCCCGTGATGGAGTTGCCCGCAACCGGAGTGCCTACGATAGGACTAGCTCCAACCGGATTGCGTACGATCTGGCTGCCTCTAGCTGAGTTGCTTGTGGCCGAGTTGTCTATGACCCAGTGGTTAGTGACGGAGTTGCCTGTGATAGCTTTGCCTGTGGCCGAGTTACCTGAGGTCCAGATGACTCTAGCCGAGTTGTTGGTGACTGAGTTGCCAGGAATCCAGTTGCCTATGGCCGAGGTGCCTATAGCTGGGTCGAGGAGGAATTCGGGAATCATGTTGCCTATAACCGGGTCGGTGAAGATATCGATGAGAGAGGCTCTCTCACCTATGACCGAGGTGTCTATGGCTGTGTTAAGCGAGTTGCTGGGAATCGGGTTGTCGATAATGGAATTATCGACAACAGAAGTGTCAATGACCGAGTCGTCTAGAATCGAGTTGTAACCGCGCAAGTTGCCAGTGACCCAGTCGTCCCAGTTAAAGTGGTCGTCCAGGCCCGGATTGCCGGCGAAGTTCCATCCGCCGTCTCCGTTGCCGTTGCAATAGCCGTAGCCATAGACGTCGCCATAGCCGGCGCCATAGCCGTTACCTAAGGCTAGACTAGGAAGGGCGTTCCATTCTCCATAATAATCATTGGAGAAAGACATGATTAACTGGAAGATGTGGTATGCAAGGCACTTGGTGCGTCAAGTCCAGAGGTGCAGCCACACGAGTCTTCCAAATATTGTCTGATGGCCGATGGTAAGTCTCCTTACAAAAAGAAGAAGATGTGGTAGTATAAGATATTTAGTATTTATTTGAAAGGAAAGAGAACATTGGGTGGCAATAAATAGACCAAGATTTGTGTGGCCCGCAGGGCCTCAAGGCATGTGAAGGGTCCTTAAAAGATTCAACCTGGGGAAAGGCGGACTATCTCCCCACAAACTGGAGGCGGTATGTTTGGAAGATTGGGGCTATTAGATAATGAAATGCCCTTCACTCGAGGTTCGCTCGTAGGAGGAGGAGGGGGGGGGGGGGGGG